TGATAACAACTTGGGCTATCTTTGTCCTCTCTGGTCCGGATGACATGGCGTCCCAGTGTTCCATAAAGAACTTCAAATCGTGACTCATCTGACCACAGAACAGTCTTCCATTTCTCCAGCCACTTATTTATACTTGTCCCAACTTTTTTGGGATTTGTTGACACTGTGAAATTTTGAATCAACATATTTTTCCTTTAAAATGTTACATTTACTCAGATTAAACTTTTGATCTGTCATCTATGTTATATTCCGAATAAAATATTGACATTTGCCATCTCCACATCATTGCATTCAGTTTTTATTCACAATTTGTTTAGTGTCCCAACTTTTTTGGAATCCGGTTTGTATGTATATATATATAACATAAGACCCTTCAAACAGTAAATATAAAAAAAACAATCATTTAAATTTTACATTTTTATTTCAGGCTGAGATAACTCCAAAAGAAAGAATATTTTTTGTGGAAAAGAAATAAAACTATTTTTAAGAACTTCATTTTTTCCCTTTAAGGAACATGAATGGTCATAGAGTTAAAGGATAATTAATGGGTGTAGCAGGAAGAGTTAATGATGATTAAAAATTCGTTATGAATTTTATTTTGAAGGGGCACCACTCTCAGCTTTGAGAGAAAATCTGAAGGTCTGAAATTCAATTCAGATGTTATTGTTTAATTACCTCAAATGACCCTTTTTACACCGCGCGTTATTTTATATGAAGGATTCAGATGTCATAAATAAAACACATAAACTTTAGTAGACATTTTTGTGATGTTTATTTGACTATGCATGAGAAGATAACTGTTGGAAATGATTGCTTACATTTAGATGAAGGCTTTGTTTAACAACCATTTATGGAAATGAACGTGACCTTTAAAAATGCTTGTTAGCAGGAATTAACAGATAAAATGAATTTATTCTATGCGATTACCGAAACCAAAACGAGATGAAATGTGGAACTTTGGAATTTTCATCAGGGCAGATTAATTATGCAAATTTAACTAAAAGAAAAAACGCTTTGGTTCAAATTTGGTCTGAAATTAAAAAAAAAAAAAAATTACTGAACTGAGTTAATACTAATTTGGTTAAAATCTAAATTCTTGGACACCAGAGTCAACCTCAGAATAAATCAGCTTCCTCCTACCAGGTCGATCAGAATGGCCACCGTAGATATCAGATGATGGAGACCTTCTGCTGAGATGATTTTTAGCCACGTCAAAGGTGGAGAACACTTTCCCGTCCCCTGGCATCAAGAGTCAGGTCTCTGGCTCCAAAGTGGTCAACTGACGGTCTTCCTGGAGTTCTGGACAGCTGTTGATGAAAAGCTCAGGGTGCCGGAGCACTGAAGATGGTTTTATCAAAACTTTGTTAAAGTTGAAACTTCAATTTATCTTCTTCAATTTATCTTCTTTGAAGTTTTTGTAGTATAAATAGGTAGTTTCAGTCCTAAAAGCTTACTTCTCCTCTTCTTCACTTTTCTTCATCACTGCTCTCTGCTCATCTGAGGGTCTTCCTCAGACTGCAACTTTCAACCACACCTCCTAACTTTGAGGGGTTGGTTAATTTGAACCAATCAGAATGAAAGGGCCGGACCTTATATCCAATTTGTCTCTACTTTAATTAAGCATTATTTTAATCTACTTTGCTGAAAAGTCCTTAAATATGTAAAAAAAAAAATGGAAACACTTCTATCTTTTAGTGAGATTAAAACCATTAAAAACACTTTTAACTTTGTAAACAGAAAACAAGTTTGCCATCTTTTTAGACTACAGATATTCCTGTAAAAAAAAAAAACACAAGGCAAGTTGTTAGTTATTATTCCCAGTAAACAATTATTTAATTACAGGAAAACATTATTACTTCTCCAGAATGTGAATAAGTCTATGTCAGTCTTCTCAATGCAGAAAAGGGGGCCGTGGGTCTCACACTACACAGGAATCCTTTGAACAGGGACAAGGCTTTTCTGTTATCATCCTGATTTACGATCAATGAAGAGTAGTTTAGTTGGACGTTGGTACAAGGTGATACCAGAATTTCCTGGGTGATCTGTTTTAACTCAAAACATCCATTTTGGGTTCACAGAAAGGGCTTTCAGATATTTAGATTTATTGGATCTTTGGTTGTCTTTGCACTAGGGATGCACCGATCCACATTTTGTAACTTCCGATCCGATCCCGATACCCAAGTCTGGATATCGGCCGACACCGATCCGATATCGTAATCATTATTGATTTTATATGAGGCTGTAATAATCTCCTCTGTATAGGCAAGTACAATTTGTACAAATATATGCATGCATGTCCAAAAAGGCAACATAAGGTAAGTTTTATTAATGTTGGATACGTTTCAAAGTTAGAATTAAATCCTGCTAACATAAAACATGTTTTTTTTTCCTAGTTTTAAAGTGGATATTAAAGTGATTAAATGGCTTTAAACATCTGCTAAGTTGATGGCATAAACCAACACAAACATGTTTCTGTTTTTAGTACTTTAAATCGCTTTATAATGTAGCTGTTTTTGCTTTGTTTTTTTTAAATCTAATTTTATTGTAATTTTCATTTTATATGCTTTTTATGATTGTCTACTGTTGTACTGATAAATATCTCCTGGAGGGTAAACTATATCTTGACTGCAAGTATCAAGCTGTGAAATACTTTGTTTTCTGCAACTGATAGTGGTTGGTCATTAATTATGAAGTTTAGCAACTTCACAGTAAACATTCGAGCTCCGGGGCTTCAGCGGTCTGTTATTTTCTTTCAGTCCGGAGAAGGCAGTCTGATTTTGGTCAGCCGCGCTCAGTCTGTCCCTCCTCCAACAAGGACAGACTGAGCGGGTCAGACCGAGCGTGGCTGATCGAAATCAAACTGCCTTCTCCGGACTGAACGAAAATAACAGACCGCTGAAGCCCCGGAGCTCGAATGTCTATCGTAAAACTAACTTTACCGCAGTTTAATGTGGTGCTATGGCTCTGCAGACATTGCATGTTGCCGTCTTGTTTTGTGGCGTTTCTAGTGTAAAATACTTCCACACAGCGGACATGTTTAGCTGAAAAGTTGGTTAGCTGTTAGCCACAGTGCTACTAACTCAGTCCTCACATTGTTGCTGGCTGCAAACTATGAAATGGATTTCCTGAATGTGAGGCGGGTCTTATTACGCTGGGTTCATGAGACGCGCCTCTGTTCAGGAAATCCATTCCATAGTTTGAAGCCAACGTGCAGCGCAACCACAGACATGCATCATGGATCGGAAATATCGGCAGGTTAGATCGGAAAAATCCAATACGTAAATTTTGCTGTTATTGGAGCCCGATACAGATACTGGATTGGATCAGCCCCATCCCTACTTTGCTCATAAAAAGTCTCTTTTGGACATTTTCCAGACTTGGGGCCGCTGAAAAAAGGTTTAAACTGTCTCAGGTCTGAAACGGGGTGGAACTGTTTTCCTAGGGAGAGGAATGTTTCAGTTGTTTTTCTTTGAGGGACATCTTCACAGAATGAAGTCACTCAGTTCCAATTATCAGAAAAACAACTGAATGTTATAACAATCTCAAAGTCAGGTATGCATGTATATCTGTACATGGGTGAAAACATGAAATAGTATATAGAGTGCATTAATGCTAACGCAGAGGCCCCCTTCAAGATCAGTGGCTTCAGATGAAATCTTTAGGATTTTCAGAGTCAACTTTTTCACTCCTTCCCTGCGTCTATTGCTGTAGCAACACAACAAATCATCCCCTCTCAATCAATAAATATAAATAAAAATAATGATAAAGCCTCCAGTGCATGCCAGTAGAGGTACCATATTTCCTAAAAACATTTTTAAACCCTTAAATAAACCTGGAAGTGAGCAGGTTCTACTTATTGTGGAACGTCATCTTGTGTCTCCTCCAAGTATCTCGTCGTGTAAAGCCCACACCAGAAACATGGCGGCTGAACGCTTTCTCTCTCGTGTGCACGGTCAAGTGTACTGTAAGATGCAACTTCTGGATGAACTTCTTCCCAAAGTCTTCACAAGGAAAACATCAAGATTCCGTGAAAAGCTCATCTTTCAGGTGACTTAACATGTGCTTCTTAAGATGGAAGGTTTGGAGGAATCTCTTATCGCACTTGTCACAGGCAAATAGACTCTGTCCTGTGTGGAGCATGGCGTGCCAGTTTAGACTTTGACGATGAGAAAATGTTGCGCTGCAGTCGCTGCAGCAGAAGGGTTTCTCTCCTGAGTGGCTGGTCGCGTGAGCGACGAGATACTTGCGTAATCTGAAGCGTTTATCGCAGCAGCTGCAAGCAAAGGGTTTGTCTTCTTTATGAATTAACATGTGTTGATTCAGATGCCCCTGTGTGAAAAAACTTATCTCACACACCCCACACTGGAATGGTTTCTCACCAGTGTGGTGCATCATGTGAAGTTTGAGACTGGACAACTGGCTAAAGGCTTTCCCACATTTATCACAAGAAAATGGTTTCTCTCTTGTATGAACTCTCCTGTGACATTTTAACCTTCCTAGCGGGGCGAGATCCCGCACGCACTTATGATGTTAACGGGTCAGTTGTGACCCGTCTTAAATCAGCCAAAAAATGCCCTCAAAACAGTGTTTTTTTAAGAAGTATTAGAACACATCTCTAAAATAAATTTGTCTTATTATTTTGTTATTTTAATATTATTAACCATAGTAACATTTATAGTGTTAAGGGTAAGTTTTGACCCATGTATATTTACGTCAAAAAAAGGAAGAAACATTTATTTTCAAACATTGAACTTTAATACCAATATAAAATAAAAAGCAGAACAAGTAATAATACAAAATACAGATTCAGAAAGACAAGAAAAAATCAAAATGAAATAAATACTCTTCTAGTTACAAACATGCTCTTTCTAGTTTCTTTCTGTCTTTCATGCATGCGTATGAACTTGCGTATGAACTTGAGTTGGCAAGTGGCAGTTTTCCTATGTTCTTTGCATATGTATTTTCTGCAGTCAAGGCACAATGTGTTTGTTTTCCGGTCTTTATTGCTTGGGCACATCTGACACCTCTTTCGTTTTGAAGCAGGTGGAGTTGTGGGTGTGGTCGATGTTGAAGCCCGGCTGCCTGAAGGGCGTGTTGTCACTGATGCACTTTGTGCAGCTGATGATGTGGTTGGAGTGGTGCTCCGGAGCTGTCTGACAACGTTCGCAGTGGCTGGGTCTCGGGGTATCCGTTCCCTTCTCTCAATGTATGGCTTGATCAACAAATTTCCTAGCTCCTGAAGGAACAATCTCCGCTTGTGTTTTTTTTTGGCGTTCCACCCCAAGTCAATCTGGGTCCACAAGACAAATGCATTGTATGCAGACACATCTAGGATGTTGTAAAATACAACCATTGGCCATCTCCTGGTCATTCGCTGGCAAGTGTAGGTGGCAGTCAGCTTGTCCAGGGTGTCCACTCCTCCTTTGTTTTTATTGTAGTCCAGGATGATTTCAGGCTTTTTGTCACTTCTTGTTGACACAGCTGCATCTTTGTGAAGAGTGGACATAAGTACCACACTCCGGTTCTTTTTGGGACAGTATGAAACAACACTGGTGGTTTCTGTAAAAGCAAATTTTGAAGACAGTGGAGCCCTGTCTTTCACCTGCAAAATTTCAAGGGGCAGCTCAGGTTTGTTTTTTCTTATTGTGCCCACCATGGTAAGTTTCCTCTTGAGAAGTTCTTGTCCAAGATCATAGCTGGTGAAGAAATTGTCACACATGATATTGTGACCCCGCAGTCCAGTAGTCATATCAAGGATTACCCGTTTTCCTTGATTCTTCTCAGGGATGCCAGCTGCAAGTTTGCCTGTGTAAATCTGTAGATTCCAGGCATAGCTGGTTTTCGCATCACAGGCTGCCCAGATTTTTATGCCATATTTGCCTGGCTTACTGGGCATGTATTGTCGGAAGGGGCATTTTCCACGGAAAGGGAGAAGACGCTCATCCACTGTCACCTTTGGTCCTGGGTTGAACATCAGTGGAAGGAGCTTCACCCATCTATCCCAGACGTCTTTGATGGGAGCAAGCTTGTCAGACCGTGCTCTAGTATCTCTGTTGTCAAATCTGAGGACTCTTGAGATCATTTGAAAGGTCTGAAGTGACATTGTTGCGCGGAAAATACTCCTGCCTGTGGACACATCCCAGAGACTAGTAAGGGCCTCATTGCTGGATCTGTACACGCCAGCGAGAAGAAGAACACCAATAAAAGCATCCAGGCACTCCTCATCAATGTCCTTCCAAGTGTCACCGTGAACTTTTTTCCCTTCGCGGTTTATCATAGCAATGATGACTTTCTTTAGTGACAATGGCATAAACAAATCAAAGCATGTCTTGATGTCACTTACTCGTGTCACAGCAAACCTTGTAATCCCAGGGGTCATCTTCATAACATTTTCAGCAGCTTCCCTGCCATGTGAAACAGGAGGAATTGCACTCCAAGTGATGTTACCCTTTTTGGATTTATAGGTTTCAGTTACAGGAGCAGCTTCAGCACCTGTGCCCTCCTCATCCGACGAGTCTGTGTACTCTGATTCATATTCAATAGCATTGTCCTCCTCAGAAACGGGCTCATCTGTGTCACTAGGTGTGTCCTCTGCATCATTTTCAGCAAGGATGTGATCTAGAGCTTCTTGTACTGTGAATCTTCTCTTCATTTTGGTATGTAGCCAAGCTCTAGGTAAAATGGACTGTCTGTTTCTACATGTCTCTACATGCCCATGTAGAGACACACCCAGGTGGGTGTGTCTATCTAGGTCTGCCTATCAAGATGGGCATGGCTATCCAGGTAGGCTTATCTCTACATGGGCATGCCTCAACATGTCACTGCATCTACAGCTGGATGAACTTTTTCAGTTTTTGGGAGCAGAGTATGAGGGACTTATCAATAAAAGTAGTATGGATAAATGGGGATGTTTTGGTCAGTGAAGTAGACAAACAGGTAAAAACAGAAGGCCCTAACATATGTATGACAAAGTTAGTGAGGTCACAGTGTGTTTATGATTTCAGTTTTGACACTGATTATTGGTTGATAGTCTTATACCATAACTGGGTCACAAATGACCCCAGCGCGGCAAGTGCGTGTTGTTCTATAAAAAATAAAAATTAAATTTAGTGAAAAAAAATATATATATTTTTTTATTTAAATAAAGGTTCCAGACAAAGTCAAAAAGCCTTGATGCAAAAAAAAATATTTAAAAGACAGTATCATGATTTAAAATTTAAAATGGGTCACTACGGACCCTAACATAGTAGGAAGGTTAACTGAGATGGAAATCTATACATTTTACCACAATCAACACAAGAAAATGGTTTCTCTCTTGTATGAACTCTCGTGTGACATTTTAACTGAGATGGAAATCTAAACATTTTACCACAATCAACACAAGAAAATGGTTTCTGTCCTGTATGAACTCTCGTGTGATGTTTTAGTTGAGATGGAAAACTAAATGTTTTACCACAATCACCACAAGAAAATGGTTTCTCTCTGTTTTTACATCTGGTTTCTATATTTTGAACCACCAAACTGGAAGGTCCTTCACCTGAATGTGTGCTCATGTGTTTCTGAAACAGTGGCTTGTTGGGGAATGATTTAAAACACTCCAGGCAGCTGAAGGTTTTTTTGGAACTTTTGCGTCCCAGTTTGCTTTTTGCTGCTAATTCAGAAGACAAAGGTTCCCTCCAATCATAATCTTCCTTTGCAGACCCAGAAACGGACACAGTTTCCATCCAATAATCAGTCTCATCTTCACTGACTTCAGTCTCAGAAGAATCTGAAGCCCTTTGGTCGTTCTTCGTCTGTAAAATATTTGGGTCATGGTTTCGGTGTGGTTCTGGTCCTCCACAGACCTCTCCATTATCCGTTTGTGTCTCTCTGTTGTCTTCAACTTCGATTCGATGAAGCTGGAATACCTCAGGCGTGTCATCGTCTTCACTCCTCACTGCGAGCTGCTCTCCCTCCTGATTTATCTTCAGCTCCTCCTCTTCCTCCTTTATTTTAACAAGTTCTATGTCCTGCTGGTCCAAACTGGAGCTCCATAGATGAAGGTCCTGCTCTTTTTTAATCAACAACAGCTGCTGGTCCTCTGCAGGAGACACACAAACATCATGGTAGCATCATAGATTAACCTGAATTACTCAATACTTAAAACTCTGAGGTTTTGTTAAACGAGCTAAAAGGTTCTAGAAACTCTGGATCTCTACTTTTCACAGAAGGCACAATTACAGGGTAGATAAAGCTAATTGTACCCGTCTGCTGATTTTGCAGTCCAAACAACACTGGTTGTGCCTCCTCTGGTTAGTGGCTAAAACAATACACATTCAGGCACACCTGTGATGAATCAATGCAACAACAATACTTAAGCAGCAAATCTGTAGCAATACACTTCTCTAGTGGTGTCACAATACCAATACTCATATCAGTATAGGGCCAGATACAAACCTCAAATACTGTACTGTACTATAAAACCAGCCCGATTATTTAGACCAACACCACTTTTATACTTGGTGACATCATTTCCTCTTCCATTTCGCAAATACAGGTACTTGTCATAAAATTCTAATATCATAAAAAAGTCCATTTATTTCAGTAATTCCATTCAAAAAGTGAAACTTGTGTAGCGATATGGGGTATAAATATATTGTTAATTATCAGTTATGAGTTAAGCTCATTAGATATGCATGTATTATGAAAATAACCTCCTTGTTTGGGCACCACCTCTCTCTTGGGAGAGGAAAAATCAGTCTCTATTTACCCCAAAATAATTTAAATTGAACGCGAGTTCTTTTCTCGTGTTTAAAGAATATCTAATCAATTAATACACACAGATACGCCAAAATAATCACAAATTCAGTTGAATTTTATGTATTTTATTATAAAAATAATAATCTGTGATATGGTGATGAAAATTATGCATGACAAAAAGTTATCTGAACATCAAATGGCTTTGAATCAAAGGTCTCATTGATGAGTAAAATTAGTGAAACTTAAAAGGCAGACTTAGGACTGGTTTATTTCTAAGCTGAAGTGGCTAGATATTTCTAAAGTGAGCTAAGTTTGTCTGATAAGTTGTGATGTAGGGTCACCAGAAAGGCATTGAAAAGTCTCTTTCCTACCAGGATGTAGATGGTCAGAGCATGGTTCCGATAGCTGCTAAATGGTACCAGCCCCAGATGTTCCGGTGACTGAGAGGCTGAAGTCTCCTCAAAGTCCACCTGTCATCAACTGGAGGGACGAAGATCCATATGGTAGTCAGCTTGGCATTTACCACTCTACGGTGTGATGGTTGTCTGGCAGACAGATCTCGGGTCAATGCCAACCTGGTTCTGGTTCTGGCCAGGTGCTGCGTAACTTATGTATCTTTCGTTCGTCTCTCTTAAAGTCATCTGCAGAAAGGATGCTCCTCTCCTCTCTTGAGGTCAAGTGCAGAAGCGAGTTTCTCCTCGCTCCGAGTTCCAGTACAGAAGTGTGTTGGCTTCGGTGCATCTCTTCAAAGAAAATAAAACTTACTGTCTGTGTAGAAAACAGATAAGACTGATCCACCTCGGGAGGGATGGTTCTAACTTTTGGCTTGTTTTATAAATCTAAACGTCCTATTTCTGCCTTAAAAGTTTCCTTTAAAAAAATAAAATAAAACAAATGTATTATCTTAAAGAAAGATTAAAACACACATTTTCATGAATAAACATTCAACATATGACATTTTAGCATTAAACTTAAAACATGCAATGTTTTACCAAAGGTGTCACTGTTGAACTGTCCATCTCCTGGAAAAGGAATGTCAGTTTGAACAAACAAAGGGATCTTATGGTGTTATCTTCATGGGAATGAGTCTGGGAGAAACACTCCTTTTCGATAAAGGGGAGATATCAACGTAGCAAGTTCGGATGTTTCAAAACTCCGAGGTCAGTTGAACAAAAACTCTCATTAAAACGATCTGTCCGTTTCATGGGAAATGAGTTCATATTGGTTAGTGAGGTTCACAATAAGTTTTTTTTTACATTTGTAAAACAATGTCTGTTTGTTCCCAAGGGAATAGATTAATCTTATTTTGAACAGTTTCAAACACAAAACACAGGAATGATGTTTGTTTTAGGTGAGGTGAACTGTTTTCTGAGATGAGGTGTTCTCTTCCTGAGGTGGTGTTCCCCTACACTTGTATATTATATTCATTCATTACACACAGACCGATATATTTCAAACGTTTTTTTAATGTTGATGATTATAACTGACTAGGGGTGTAATGGTACACATGGTTGTATTGAACTGTTTCGTTACGGCACGTTCGAGTCGGTCCACGTGCGTACCATTTCGGTTATTTTTCTTCACTCATTAAATTTTATTAACGAGAGATTATGCGCCGTGGAACTAAAGTTCCTATGCGTGATTCAGCATGGCGCGATTATCTTGCAGCACATTTAGCATTCTAGCATCTCGTTGCGGTCTCCTGTTTGGGAACATTATGGCTTTCTTGTTAAAAGACAAGTGAACAAATCTAAAGCTGTGTGTCGACGCTGTCTCACAGAGATTGGATCTGCAGTAGCAACACATCTAACTTGTTAATGCACTTGAAACAAGATCATCCGAATGTGAACGTCTCTTCTAGCAGCTTGGTGCAAAGACCGATAACAGCAACATTTAAACAACCTTTATCAGGTAGTTCAGATCGGTCCAGAGCAATAACACAAGCTGTAGAAGTTTTTAAAGTTCTGGATCTATGTTCGAATGTTGTTGATGCGCCGGCTTTAAAGTTACTAAGCCCCGCTACAACATCCATCATGTCAACACTTCAGCCAAAAAGTTGTAGCAGCACTTTATGAAAAAACTAAAACTGATATTGTCAACAAGCCCTGGACCAGATTAAAGCCCTGTCCTGATGATGACAGAGAGATTCAACCACCTCATAACAAATGATGACCGTTCAAGAAGAGGTATTGCTTATTGTATTATTATGATCTAATTAACTTTTTTAAATTTAAAATTATAATCTTATTAACTCATTTTTTTACCTCGTGTTTTATTTCCAGTCTGGGACAGAGATAGCAGCTGAGTCTTCCTCTTCAGGGAAATCCACCAGAGATCACGTCCAGCTAAGAAGTCTGTGATGACTGAACTCTGAACTTTTCCAGGGACAGGTGGGAGCAGGTCCAAGAGGTTGTGAGTAATGAGGACAAATACAGCCACACTGCAACATTAGCAAAGTTCTACCTCTTTAGTCCTGCCATCTGTTAGTGAGTGGTTTTCTCCACCGCTGGAGATAATGTCACTGCAACTAGATCTGTGCTTTTGGCAGAAAATGTGGACAAGTTTGTCTTTTAGGCCAAAAACTTAAAACTTGATTAGTTACATTATAAACAGTCTGTTGCTGCTTATTGCTCTGGTTCTGAATGTTACTGTATTTATTAAGATTTTTATTATTGTTAGTATAGTTTATTTATTGTAAAGAGTGCCGTTTATTTAAAAAATCATCCAAATGGATTGCTTTTATTTATTTTTATATAAACATATTATTTACTTGGCATATTTTCAAAATAAACGTTTTATAAGTCTTTAGTTTGACCTTTTTTTGTACCGAAAATTAACCGAACTGAGCCCTCCTTGAAACTGAACAGAATCAAAATGTGATTTTAGCGTACCGTTACACCCCGATAACTGACAACTAACGAAAACCCCAAATTCAGTATCTCAGGAAATTAGAATATTGTGAAAAGTTTTAATATTGAGACACCTGGTGCCACACTCTAAGCAGCTAATTAACTCAAAACACCTGCAAAGGACTTGAAATCATTTGTGTCAAACTCAAGGCCCGGAGGCCAAATGTGGCCCTCATTGACATCTTATATGGCCCCCAAAATGTTATTTTAAATGCAAAAAATACTTTTATCACTTTTATTTTTTCAGTAATCTTTGATTATGATGTCACAAGTGCAACAGAAAACATCAAATGAGACAAATCAAACTGTTGTTGAGGAACCTGTGACCAAGAAAAGATGTTGGGTATCTAACTTGAGTTAACGTAGATTCTGAAACCGGCCCTTAGTTTGAAAAAGGTTTTAATATTGGCCCCAATTTGTAAGTGAGTTTGAAACCCCTGCTTTAAATGGTCTCTCAGTCTAGTTCTGTAGGCTACACAATCATGGGGAAGACTGCTGACTTGACTGTTGTCCAAAAGACGACCACTGACACCTTGCACAAGGAGGACAAGACACAAAAGGTCATTGTTAAAGAGTCTGGCTGTTCACAGAGCTCTGTGTCCAAGTACATTAATAGAGACGAAAGGAAGGAAACGATGTGGTAGAAAAAAAGTGTGCAAGCAATAGTGATAACTGCACCCTGGCGAGGATGGTGAAACAAAACTCATTCCAAAATGTGGGAAAGATTCACAAAGAGTGGACTGCAGCTGGAGTCAGTGCTTTAAGAACCACCACGCACAGATGTATGCAAGGCATGGGTTTCAGCTGTCACATTCCTTGTGTCAAGCCACTCTTGAACAAGAGACAGCGTCAGAAGTGTCTCACCTTGGACTGCTGCTGAGTGATCCAAAGTTATGTTCTCTGGTGAAAGTGAATTTTGCATTTCATTTGGAACTCAAGGTCCCAGAGTCTGGAGGAAGAGAAGAGAGGCACAGAATCCATGTTGCTTAAGGTCCAGTGTCAAATTTCCACAGTCAGTGATGGTTTGGGGCCATGTCATCTGCTGGTGTTGGTCCACTGTGTTTCCTGAAGTCCAACATCAACGCAGCCATTTACAAGGAAGTCTTAGAGAACTTCATGCTTCCTGCTGCTGACCAACTTTATGGAGATGCAGATTTCATTTTCCAACAGGACTTGGCACCTGCACACAGTGCCAAAGTTACCAGTACCTGGTTTAAGGACCATGGTATCCCTGTTCTTAATTGACCAGCAAACTCACCTGACCTTAACCTCATAGAAAATCTATGGAGTATTGTGAAGAGGAAGATGTGATACACCAGACCCAACAATCCAGAAGAGCTGAAGGCCACTATCAGAACAACCTGGGCTCTCATGACACCTGAGCAGTGCCACAGACTGATCAACTCCATGCCACGCTGCATTGCTGCAGTAATCCAGACAAAAGGAGACCCAGCTAAATATTGAGTGCTGTACATGCTCATACTTTTCATGTTCATACTTTTCAGTTGGTCAACATTTCTAACAATCCTTTTTTTATTGGTCTTAAGTAATATTCTAATTTTCTGAGATACTGAATTTGGAGTTTTCATTAGTTGTTAGTTATAATCATCAACATTAAAAGAAATAAACATTTGAAATATATCAGTCCGTGTGTAATGAATGAATATAATATTCAAGTTTCACTTTTTGAATGGAATTATTGAAATAAATAAACTTTTTCGTGATATTCTAATTTTATGACCAGCACCTGTAATTAAGGTAAATATATATATATATATCTGTAGTTTTGAGAGAATTTCAGATAAACTGGGATGATGCTAAAACAGCAGATTTCTTAACAACAACAAAAAATGTTTCTTAAGTCATATCTAAGTATTAACTACTCAGAATCAGTACTCAGTATCAGCAAGTACCCAAGTACTTGTACTTTGTCTTAAGAACTAGTATCAGAACACCTCTACCATTCACCCCTCAGTAGTTTAATGCCATTTATTCAGACTAATTATTTACTATCTAGGAGGAGTTACTGCAACAAGATTCATTTTAAAATTACAACTAACTTTTGTCAAATCTAACTCATAAAAATAAACAAATAAAAATGAGGCCTACAGCATCTGTGTTTAATCCTTTGGTAACCAGTGTGATGACTGATCAAATTTCAGACATTATCCATTTTTCCACCTATCCAACGTCAGGTTGCAGAGGCAACAGGTCCAGGAGATAAACTCTCCTGACACCCCCCCC